GGCTTTACAAATGCGTAAGGAAGCAGCAGTGGTACCTGCAGCAATGTGTGCAAGGAGCCAGTGGAGCCATCCCAGGCTGAGCGCACAGACTGGTGGGTGTCATGGTGGAAGCCAGCTAACAACCTGGCCCGTGGACACTAGCAGGGCAGCCCATGAAGGACTTCCAGAAAATCAGATGGGAAAAGGAGGCATTTTACAAGTGAGGCCAGAGATCTTGCAAGGTTCAAACAGAAGCTCTAGGTGATTGTTATTGTCTTCACCTGCACGTATTGACTGGCAATCCTGGTAATATTCAGGTTATGTGTACATCCTCTGTAATCCTTTCAAGGGAGGTGAGATATTCCAATTTTCCTATGGAAAGCTAAAATGCTGAGAGCTCATGAAACTTTGTGAGGGTCATGAAGATGCAGTTATGATGGGTTGAATATGTGCCGAGAGGACTGGTCCTTTACTGCCATTAGCACTAACATTAAACATGTATTAAATGCATGTAATATGCTAAGTGCTATGAGAAAGGTTGGTGACAGCGGTATGAAGTCTTTGCCCCTGCCCTTAAGGGATTGTATTCTAGTTGGGAAAGCACGAGAGAATATCCAGCAACTGTAACATGACTCTCATTGATTCCTTCATTTGGTTTGATTCTTCTTATCTGGATGGATCAGCATTTGGGGACCAGAGTAGTTATTATTAAATACAGCTTCATGAAGTAGAAAATTCAAGTAATAATAAAAAAGACTGATATTTATCTCCCAGTCACATAAATGGGAATGGTCCTTCATGGCTTGGCCTCCATTTCCTGCTCAGAACCCGGTTTTAGGCACCTTCCACTCCTGGCTTCCGGATGCACCCCTCATGGCCTGGGCAGACCATTTCCTGGTGCTCTCCTGCCCCTCTGTTCCTCTGAACAGCCTGCTCTCTCCAGAGGGAGGTGTTTGAGTCACTCCCGGCCTGATCACGGGAGCAGTCCTTTTTATGCAATGAGAATTCCCATTCTACTGCCTTCATCCAGAAAGAGAAATGGTCACTGATAACTTCAGGGCATATATGACATCTCTTCTCTAACCAATGCCTTTTTAGTACATACCCTGAGAAGACCTAAGTGACAACCTCTAGCCTTGAGCTACAGTGGCTTCATCTAACTCCTGCAGAGCAGGACACTGGAACCGCCTGGAATGGGACCATTTTGCCCCTTTGAAGGAATCTGAGAAACTCCCGAGAGGGCTAGTTACCTAAAGATCTGCCATTCATTCAACAAACACATTGAGCTCCTGTGATAATTCAGGCACAGGTGTGGGTGTGGTGACTGTGAGACAGTCAGACTGTTGCTGCAGTCCAGGTACCCAGTGCCATACCCCTAAGTGTCTAGGTGTATTAAGCAGGAAATCCAGAAAGCCCCCTTACCTATGCCACTTTCTGCGTCAAGTCCGATTCATTTATTTATCCAACAAATAATATACTGAGGACTACAATGTGCCAGGAACTTTCCTGAGTTGGGAAACAGTAATGCACAGGAGAGACTAGTATGCTGGTCCTCAATGGATGTATATTTAAATATGTATGTGGGGGGGGGGGTAGGGAGGACGACAGGAGAAAAAATGAGTAAAAGACAGAAATTTAGAAGGTATTTATTTATAAAGCAAGGGACAGGACTGGGGAATGTGATGAGAAAAGAGTAAATACATTTAATTAGGGTCCTTGGCCTTCCTGAGAAGGAAAGTGACATTTGAATGACATTTGAAGAAATACGTGAAGGAGGTCAGAAAAGAAGGACTCCCCCACACCCACTCCCCATTTTACTGCAAATATCGTAGAGCTCTATTTCCAGGAGAAAAATGGCGTGCTCTCTGCACCAACAGGAAAGGAGACAGTATGAAAAGAAAAGGCCAGGACAACAGAAATTATTCCATGTTGAACTGTCCCTGATGGACACTTGAAAACCAGCTCCGGGACAGAGCAGGGCCCACCAGGCGAGGCGGCTCTCCAGGGCCCCTCTTGAGGGCTGTCAGGCTAATCCCGCCGCCACCTCCCACCCCGCCCCGCCCTAGGGGGCGTTTGCTGGTGGGGGGGAGTTATGTTCAAACCCGGCTGAAGCCAGCCCTAGGGGGCACTTTGAAAAGCGAAGCGGCGCGGCCGCCAGAGTCGCTGGGGAGCAGCCTCCCTGGGCTCGGAGCGCACCGGCCTGAAACCAGGCGGTGGGCACAGGCCGCGGGGCTGCAGGGCGCTGGGCCCCCGGGCGAGCTCGCGCCCCTCTACGGGCGGCCCCAACCTCCCCGCAGCTGCACAGCTCAGCGCCCTCCCGGCCGCCCAGCGCCCTTCTCGGTTGCACAGAACTTTCCTGAAATTATCCAACTCCCGGAGCGCCCCGGGCGGTCTCAGACCCCCGAGCTGGAAGCCCCCTTTTCCGGCCGCGGATTAAGTGTGCGATCTCTCCAGGCCGCCCGGAAACACTCAGGGGTGCTGTTCTGCTCGGGCCCGGGTCTCTCCCGCGCCGAGCTGCACAACAAACCATTTAAGCATTTCAGCACAAACCCCCCGACCTATTGTGGGCCGCACATTAAAAAGTGTTATTCGCTTTGAAGTTTTTGTCTAATGGTTCTAAACTGAAAGAAAATGTTTTCCTATTACTTAATTCAATCATAGCGAAGAGACTTGGTAAAAAGCCCACGGATTTTGCCCCAAAGTGTGACAGAGTTCTCTTTGTGTTCGCTTATCCTCCGCTGTCACACACTTTAATTCGCCTCTCTTTATCTGGCATTCAAAACTTTCTTCAATGACATTCAATAAGGTCCAGAGACTGGAGGGGGGAAAAAACTGGTTATTTCCCCCTTCCCTGGATATTCTTTCCCAGTAGCTTTGGCCGTGTTCGCATTCAGGGGCTCTTAACCCCTTCCTCCCCGGGCGCGGGCTGCTGCTCCCCGGAGAGGGCACTGGCCCTCCGGGGCTCCCGGCTCCGCGGCGCAGCGGGAGCCTATTTCACCCCGCAGGGCCCCAACAGCATCCCGCACCTCTCCCGCCCGCCTCAGCCCAGCGGGGAGCCCCGCTCCCGGCCCTGTCACGGGTGCCAGCTCAGTCTCGGGGGTCCAGGCCAGTCCAAATTTCCCAGGACAATTAGAACGGGCATTAGGGTTCACTATGCCTCTGGTTTACAACCACCACCCTAGCGTGCGGGACACTGGGGAGGAAACTGTGGCGTTTGGGGCAGCCGTGGTCCCCTGTCACTCCCCTCCCCTGTACCAAACAATCAAAGAAGCATTGAGCCCCCACTCCTGTTACATGACAGTCCTTCAGCCAGGCTGTTTTTCCCCATTGTCCCTCTCCCTTTTATGGAATCGGTCATTTTCTCTCAAAGTTTCTTTGCTTTTTAATCAGTAATTTTGCTGCTGTTGTTATAGCAAAGATGGCATCAGTGATGCATGCTTCCATTTGAGGCATTCGTGTCCCCGTGCACTGATTCCCCCTTCCAGAAAGCTTCCCCCTCCATTTGTCACAGTTCCATTCAGAGCAGGTGACTGCAGCGATTTGGTTCCAATAAAATCGAAAGTAAATGTCTTCCGTGAAAAGTCCAGGGCTGTAAATTCGAAATGTTTATGCTAATTTCCCATTGTATGGAAAAAGTTCCTGGGCGAAGCAGCTTTGAGCCCGAGGACGGTATAAAAAGCCGAAGCTGTGTACACAGCGCCAGACGTTTGAAGTTGTTTAACTATTGTGTGACCAGAAAGAAGAGGGTGACACTGCAGGAGAAGGTCTTGGGGCCAGGGGAGCTCCATCGGGTGGGCAAAGGCGGCAGAAGTTGGGAATACAACTGCCCCTCGCGCCACTTCTGCGGGGCAGATTGCAGGAAGGCAATGGTTTCCGAGCGCAGCCCCGAGTCTACTGGGGTGTGCGCAAGGGGAGAGGGTCAGAGAACGCCCACGCTCTCCCCATCTGCTAGGGTGCGAGAGCTCTGTCCACGCTTTCATTCCCCGTTCCCCGTCTGTCCGTGACTCTCAGTGGCTGTTTTCCTATTTACACCCACGCCCTGTCTGAATGTTTCAAGAAAAAGGCTGGCTGACTAGCACCTACCTAATAAAGACTGGGCGTTATTGGCAGCATCAAAGACTGCTTGAGGAACTCAGGGAACAGAACAGCAGGGGGCCTAGTGCTGGATGAGGAATCCCGGGCCCTTCTCTCTCCCAAGCGGCGCCTCCCGCTGCAGGAGCCCAGTCCTCTAGCTTCCGACACAGGAGAGGGGAAGCGATTCCACAGGTGGAAATTAATCTGAGGTCGGTTGTAGGGACGCCCGCGGGGTGCCCAGCACTGAACTGAGCGAACTGAGTGGAGGCAGCACGATCTTTTGGGGGAGGCAGAAAGGATGAGAGAAGGAAAGGAACAGCAACCGAGTGCGCGGAGAAGATGGGGTGTGCGCGCTTGGGGATCTGTGGAAGAGAGGCAGTGTGCGTACAAAATCAGTAAGATAAACGGGCCTATCGCCAATGCAGAGCTAAAGGGGGAGCTAGGAATAAAGAGAAAGAAAAGAATATTAAATCGCAGGAGAATGAGAAAATAAACTCGCAAAAGGGAGAGGAGGGGGGCGAGGGTGCCTGTTACGGCGTGGGTGGGGTTGACAAGAATAGAGTACATTATGCAGTTCATTTAGTTAACAAGTGAAATAATGAGGAAGCGTGCAGAGTGAATGCCAAGAGAAAAGGCACAAAAACCCTATTGAGAGGCCCCGGCCGCTCCTGGCGTAGCCCATCACATGGCAATAGTCCTATTTAAGCGGCACCGCCGGCGCCTTTCAGCACCACTAGCGCTGGCCAGCACCCCCGAGCTCTCTGGGAGGCGCCCGCGGCAGCGGCGGCGGCGGCGGCGGCGGCTCCAGCCTCGGCCTCCGCAGCTCCTTCAGGCTCCCGGGAAAAGGCAGCTGTGCGCGGCCGCGGCCCGGGGAAGCGCGCCGAGAGCCCCGAGGTCTGCGGGGCGCAGGGAGCGGGCTGGCGGCGGGGCGACCGCGCACCGGGACCATGCCGCGCTCCTTCCTGGTGGACTCGCTGGTGCTGCGCGAGGCGGGCGAGAAGAAGGCGCCGGAGGGCAGCCCGCCGCCGATCTTCCCCTACGCCGTGCCTCCGCCGCACGCCTTGCACGGCCTCTCGCCCGGCGCCTGCCACGCGCGCAAGGCCGGGCTGCTGTGCGTGTGCCCGCTCTGCGTCACCGCCTCGCAGCTGCACGGGCCCCCCGGGCCGCCCGCGCTGCCTCTGCTCAAGGCGTCCTTCCCGCCCTTCGGCTCGCAGTACTGCCACGCGCCCCTGGGCCGCCAGCACTCGGCGGTATCGCCTGGGGTCGCTCATGGCCCCGCTGCCGCCGCTGCCGCCGCCGCGCTCTACCAGACCTCCTACCCACTGCCCGACCCCAGGCAGTTCCACTGCATTTCCGTGGGTAAGCCGCGTAGCCGCGCCGGGGCACAGGGCACAGGTGACCCGACGAGAATCGAAGGGCCAGGGATGGAGGATGAGGGACCCTGAGAGCGCTGGGGAAGGTGAGGGTAGTGTCGGGGGCCTGGGGGAGACAGAGTGGTGTGCGGATGGGGGGCCAGGACAGGACCCCGGGAGGGCGGGTGAGGGCACAAGGTCCAGGTGCTGGAGGGGGCCCGTGGGAGAGAGCGAGGGCTAGGGCTCAGGGCGCGCCACAAAGTAGTGCCAGGGCCGCGTGACTCCGGGAGTATCAGGGTCCCGTGGCCTGGCAAGGAGGCGCGCGGTCACGCTGCGGTGCGTCGCGTTCGGGGCAAAGAGGTGGGCGAGGCAGTGAAGTCCTGGTATTCTAGCGGCCGCCTGCCGAGGGATCTGGCACCCAGCGCAGGCGGCTGATGGCTTCCGTCTCTGCACCCCCGCCCCCTGCAGACAGCAGTTCAAACCAGCTGCCCAGCAGCAAGAGGATGCGCACGGCGTTCACCAGCACGCAGCTGCTGGAGCTGGAGCGCGAGTTCGCCTCTAACATGTACCTGTCCCGCCTGCGCCGCATCGAGATCGCGACCTACCTGAATCTGTCGGAGAAGCAGGTGAAGATCTGGTTCCAGAACCGCCGGGTGAAGCATAAGAAGGAGGGCAAAAGCAGCAACCACCGCGGCAGCGGAGGGAGCGCGGGCGCCGGCGCGGGGGCCCCGCCAAGCTGCAAGTGCGCGTCGCTCTCCTCCGCCAAGTGCTCCGAGGATGACGACGAGGTGCCCATGTCTCCGTCCTCTTCAGGGAAGGACGACCGAGATCTCACGGTCACCCCCTAGGCTCCCGCCTCCCCACGTCGCCCAGCCCAGGTCCTGGGATGCAGGGCCAGTCCCCAGGCGTCCGCCGCCAGACGTCCACGCACGGATTCGGCAGGGCTTTGCGGAGGCCCCCGGCCCTGGGCAGCGCCTAGAGCTGGGCAGAAACCTGACGCTGGCGTCCCCACCCCGGGCTCGCGGTGCCCCAAACGAACTGCGCGCTGTGGGCACTGCAAGCGCTGGAGTCCTTCTCCGCCCGGCAGCACGGCGGCCCCACGCCTGCACGCCGGCCGGGCCCAGCGCCTTGCTGGCCGCCGGCGCCCCCGCGCCTGCCCTCTCTGGACCGGCTCAGGCTCCCTCGCCTAACCTCCTTTACCCCACCCTAGGTTAGGCTCGGCCTCTCACCCCTCGGAACCCCTTCTTGCCCCCTCCTCTTTCACGTCTTTCTCTCCCTCCCCACTTATTTCCTGTGGTCGTTCATCCAAACCACCCCCCACCACACACACACATTTATGAACTCCTCTTTCCATTTCCCCCCTCTTTTTTTCCCCCCTTTCCCTTCTGCCTCCTCCGAGTTCAGTGGGTCCGTCTGACCCTCCATCAGGCCTGGCCGTGCTCGCGGCTCCTCTCCCAAGAGAGAAATTGTCGCCAATGGTATCCGTGTCGGGAAGCGGATTCACTTTGTTCAAGGAGACACGCCGCATGTCCCCCAGATACCCCAACTCTCTAGCTCTGGCGACACCCTCTCTGGCCGCAGACCCCAGGCCCCTAGCTTGTATGGTCTCTGTAATACCAGAAGATATTTATTTATTTATTTATGTACAAAATTTTAAATAAACTTTTTTTTTTCTTAGAAGTCCACGTGGCCCTGGACCCTCCCGGCCTCTGCTCCGTACTGGACAGGCGCCGGCCCAGGGTTGGGGCTTCCTGATGGGGCGGGGCGGGGATGGGGTGGAGGGGTCCCAGCTCCGCTGCTCACCTTGCTGCCCCGCCAGCCGGGTTCTGCACCCCCAGCCCAGCGCGGACTCGGCCTTGCGCGCCCTTAGGCCCCGTGCGCTCCCGGGCCTCCTGTGCGCGCAGGGGGCTCAAAGAGCCGAGTCGGAAGGAGGGAGCTTCCGCGTTGTGCCTCGGGTCCAGACCCCTTCAGCGCCGCCCTCCAGCCAGAGTCCGGCGCCACCTCCAGCCCAGCCAGTTGGGATGTCCTGACCGCCATCACCAGGGCAGCGACCACTAATTTATCTCAAGCGGGAGGTCTCAGCCCTTGGCTGCCTTCGGATTGATAACCTATTACCAATTATTTTTTATCCACCGTATTTGTTAGGCACAAATTCCCAACAGGATGGTGCGACCTCCTCTCAGAAGGGCCCCTCGCTTTGCTCTGTGGCAAATACCATTAACCAGCTTCCTGCTCCCAGACCGTGCGGGCTTCGAGTCCGGAAACCCAGAGCGATCCCGCGCGCAAGTCCCCGCGAGCGGCCCTGAGCAGCTGGAGCCCGCGGCTCCCGGGCCTTATTTCCTCACCGAATCTTGCTAAACTTCCACAGCCTCTACAACTGAGAATCTACACCCAACCCTCCTTGGGGACATGAGAGGGTTTGTTTGTTTTACGCGTCAGGTGAACTAGGAGGAGGCTCCCGCGCAGGCGGGGAGCGCCCAGCCCCCGAAGTAGGGTATTCCTGCTGCTCGGGAAACTGCCCGAGGGAAACAGCGGATCCGGGTTCTCCAGACCCCCCAACGATTGCTGTTCCACGTCCTGGAGGCCTGGGCCGCTGCTTTTCCTGCCAGAAATTTCCCCGCTACCTACCACCCGCCGCTCTCCACACACATCCTCCCCCCGCAACGGGCGCGCACTCACACCTTGGGGAGCGCCGGACCCTGCGTATCTAGGAAAGCAAACACTTGCGTCTCTTGCGGCTACAAATGCGCCCCAGCTGGGGTTGCTCGACACAAGTGGGGTTCATTTCCAAAAACCTTCAGTCTTTTCCTGCAAATCAAGCTGAATGCAGGGCCCTCTCTCCAGTTCCCCTAGAATAAAGGCAAGCCCGATGTGGTTTCCCCACGGAGATGGTACCCCAGGTTCTTCCTGGAGAAGGACGCCTGGGTTGTGCCTGGACAGAGGCGGTTCTGTCCCTCCCGCTTCTCGGCACCCTCCCTCTGCGCCGCCATCCGCATCAGTCTGCATGCCAGTCTCACCTGGGACCAGTTCTCTGCCCTCCCAGGAGGGGGCATTTTTCCTGAAAGAAACGAAGCCAAGGTGCTTTGACATACGTGAATAAATCCCAACTGTTTTATTATCAATGATGGTGACATGTTCTGAGTTTCGCGCGGCTACCACGCTGCCCTAAGTGCCCTTCGGTTAAATTAAGTTTCGCATCCTGCAGCTCCAGGACACCCACCCGGTGGCAGCAAGGCCCCCAGGGAACGGGTCCAAGGTGAATTCGAACGGCTCGCTTTGAACCAGCTCCTTCCCTGGATTACCGGAGGAGGTGGCCGGCTTTCGGTGATAGACACGCGGCCAAAAGTGCTATTTCGGAGATCGGTCTGCCGGGGCGCTGGGCTGGGGGTGGGGGTGGCTATAGGGGGAAATGGCAACAGAGCTTGAGAGATGTGCCAGTCTGGACTGCCCCCCGCCGCACGCGTACCCCCACGCCAAATGCTTCCGTTTTGCGCCCTTATCCAGGGATCCCTCCTATTCCCGGCTGCTCGCAGAAGGCGCGGATCCTCTGCTGCGTGCCAGGTCCACGCGGGTCCAGCGCTCCTAGGGGCGTGCCCTTCCTCCTCTCGGCTATCCCTACCCAAGGCTTCATGTCTCCGTCCGGTTCCCAGAAAAACAGCCTCTTCACTTTCTGGCCGGTTGTCCTGGCCCCCGGCGGGAGAAAACGCAGCCTCTGGTGGCGGTCCCAGCGGTTACCACGGCGGTGACGCAGCGCTCAGGAGCTGTCAGTATCCCGCCGCGGCCCGGAGGGGCGACCACCAGCTTTGAGTCCCAAGGCGCTTGGGTTCAAACACTGCTCACCATGCAGTCTCTCTCCGCCTCGCTCCGGCCGGAAATCGCTCCTCTGCTGCCGGGGTTGGGGCGAGCGAGCATAGGGCGCGCTTGAGTCCTGGAGTTACGGAAAACTGGAGCTTCTCATCTGGGGGGACAATCTAGTTCTTAAGCCCACATTAGAATTTTGAAGGCTGCAAGTCAAATTACATTGAAATCACATTCAAAAATGAATGATCAAGATGACATTCCTGGAAATTACCATTCAGTGCGGCTAACCCACATCGAGAGCCCTGATTTTACTTGAGGCACTGCGCTCTTCTCTCCGCGCAGCTTAGGGGCTAGACATTGGGATCCTGGCACCCAAGAGCATGGCTTTGCGATCCATTTTCACCATGTACCTACAGGCTGGGTAATCTTGGGCAAGCCCCCCATCAAGGTCCTTCCTAATCCTCAATTTCTCCATCTGTAAATGGGGATTATGTTAATAGTTCCTTCACAGTGTTGTACAATATTAAAGGATAGAATTCACACAAAATGCTAAGCACCATGTCTGCCCAGATTCAAGAAATGTTAACCTGTGTTGCTGTGCTTGGTGCCGTTGCTCCTTGTCCTGCCTATAGCCGTCCCTGGGGTTGAATTATTTCCTGCAGGCTGAAAAGTGCAGGTTTAGCCCTGAATCTACCCTCCGTGGTAGAACACGCGAAAGAGCAAACATCCAGGACTTGACGGGGTCAGTCACTCAGAGAATAAGTATGGCTCCCTTCTGCCAAGAACAGTCCAGGTGCTGAAGTCAAAACAGGAGTCCCCTTTCCCCGGCTCCTTCCCTCTGCACCTTGACATTTGGGGCCCAATAATTCTTTCTGTGGGAGCCTGCCCTGTGCATAGCCGAGCTCTGAGCAGGCCTTTCTACCTTTTCTTCAGTGATCCTTCTTTGAACCTTTTGTACCTTTTAGAGCCAGGATATTGGACTAAGTGCCTACGTGTAGTGTGAGAGGACCAAGGGGAAAGAGAAAGTTAGGAGGAGGCTAGGGGAGCATGCCAGGTTGTCTGCGCAGCCCTGGGCATTTGGGTTGAAAGGGTGAACTAGTCAGAGGCTTGCTGGGTGAACAGTTTACAGAGCCACGGGGCCTTGCCAAGAATATTCTATCCATTTGTCTCATGACCTACAGACTATTTGTCTCCCTCTTCAGGCAGGTCACATCCATGGGTACCCACCTTTTGGAGGACATCTTTCAGGAGGCTGAGTTGCATGGCCCCATCCCCCCACCCCTCACACCCCCTCACCACTCATACGGATCTTCTGGAGTATGCTCCTTACCTGTTTTGTCAATGCCTGAAAGTCTGAAACTAGAAATCAATTCTTTTTGACTAAGGCCTCCTATTTGGCTTAACACAAGTGCCCCTGAGAGTCATAACCACTGAGCACATCATTCACTCTGAGAGGAGACTGGAGGGGCAGAGGAGCAGGTCCCTAGGGAGCATGAAAGAGGCACAAGGGTAAGAAAGGGACAGGGAGAGGGGCAGGGTCCTAACCTTCTCTCTGGCTGGGGCCCTCTGCCTCTGACCCTGACCTCGGGGGCTGAGCGGATGTGCTTGCTAGACCACGTCAGAGCCGGATCAGCCTGAGGAATAGGCCGATTCCTATGAGGCAGGAATCCATGCATCTGGGGTTTCCCCAGTCTTGTATGTGGTAATCAATAGGAGAGTTTCTAATACTAATAGAAGTGTGTGTATGTGTGCATGTGCATGTGCTAGAGAGGCTGAAACAAAAAAAAAGGTTAAAAAAAAAAAAGTTGGTTGAAGCAAAACTGAAGGAACAAAATAGCAGCAGACTCAGAGACTCCAAGAAGGAACCGTGACGTTATGAATTTCTAGAGTAGCTCTGCTATGGGCTGAATTTGTGTCCCCCCCGCCCTAATTTGCATGTTTAAGTCCTAAGCCTCAGTACCTTAGAATGTAACCACATTTGGAGATAGGGTCTTTGAGGAGATAATTAAATGCAGTCATTTGGGATGGGCCCTAATCCAATATGACC